GTTTGCCCGCTCATTCATTCACTCAGATCCCCGAAAATCTCAGGTTCGATAAATTCTTTAGCATTCTGCCGTTGCCTTCCATACCACTTCATTTTCAATGATTCCAAAGCTTTAACATATGTAGATTCTGATAAGCTTCCACGCTGTCGTTACTAATTTAAAGGTAAAGTTAAAGAATTCTGAAGCAACGACGATAACGGTAGGATTTTCTATTCGACAAATGACACTGTAAATATTGAAAAATTCAGAAGGAGACGAACATAAATAAAGCGATCTACATCATACCTCTCCCAGACAATCATTATGGGCCATTCTAAACCCGTTTGGATAAATCCTGTTGCCTTCTTGATATTCGGAATATTTTCACACGGTTCTATCCTACCCAATTCTTATCTAACTGATATGTCTAAAGCAAAAATAAAAAATACGAAAAAAAAATGAGCAACGATACAGTGGGTCCGACAATCGAAGAAATACATAAATACTTCAAGACACCAAATCTTGAAAAATCTGCAAGTGATAATAAACTTTCAATCAATACCATAGAAGGAATAAGCCGCAGCTGATCAAAAGTTCTACATCCAGGTTAGCCACTACCTTCTTTCAAGCAAAGAATGAGAGACGGCAATTATTGCCTTAAATGACTTGATAATGTTAAAGAAAAAGGAGAATCTAACATGTTGATAGCTAAACACAGAACAAGTGATAATAGAAGATAACGAATCACAATTTGGAATGATATGCTTGGAATCTTGCCGTCTCCGTCATTAAGCCCCGTAATTGAATAGCAACTCCTGTGATATGTTATCAAAGGGCACGATTTTAAAGAGCCGCATTACCTAAAAGAAAATAAAAGGATAAAATAGAGTATGAGCACTCACTCATACATTTCTATTCCTCACACTTAGACACTTCTATTATCCTGAAATACTGTTTTTTTTAACACACTGATATAAGTGAACTGAAGGAATATAGTGGTTGTGCAATACTTCATAAGTACCGCACGAATGGTTATAAAAGGATAAAAAAGAAAAAGCTTTCGGCGTTGATCAACTCCTGAGAGATGCGCAATTCATTCGACTGCATCAATCAACGATTGAGGTGACCCAATGCATATCTAGCTCATACATTAACTCGCGGTGGCCTATCGATGTACCAAATCAGCGCTGCTATCCTCCCAGGCAAGTTTGGTAGCAATTTGACGACACAGGAAAGATGGAATGCTTGGTGAGCTTGGGGCGCGGGGTAGAACCCATGCGTATTGCAAGGCACCTCTAACTACTGCGCTACACTCGCCCGTCACGAACTTATAAATGTTTATGGAGCCCTAAAATTATTCGCTAGTCACTAGTAATAACATTGTTCGACTGTGTCGTTTTCTTGTTCAGCAATCGCGAGGTTTTTAAACAGCATACATTTACTTCCATAAAAACACAATACAATATAACGCTAGCTGACGTTTCGGCAGTATCGCCTTCTTCAGAGCCTGGAAGGGTATACTGATATACAATCTACTAGGCCAAACGCTTCAATAACACTTACACAAAGACGAAAGACTCTTTGGTAACTACACGATCAACAACTTCTCGAAAAACCCACCGCTTTTTCGTGACTTCCAATGAGGAAGTTTAGAACAGCTGATTATAGTCGCATGTGGTTGACGACTGCAACATCCCACATCAAAAATCGATGCGAACGTACGGGATCAGGTCGCGTATGACCTCCGGGCATTCATCCCTGCTATTCATAGTAGGGTTTTTGGCATTTATCCTTCTTCTTGAAGCTTTCTGGATGGTGCAGTCGTCAACCACATGCGACTATAATCAGCTGTTCTAAACTTCCTCATTGGAAGTCACGAAAAACCGGTTGGTTTTTCGAGAAGTTGTTGATCGTGTAATTACCAAAGAGTCTTTCGTCTTTTTGTAAGTGTTATTGAAGCGTTTGGCCTAGTAGATTGTATATCAGTATACCCTTCCAGGCTCTGAAGAAGGCGATACTGCCGAAACGTCAGCTAGCGTTGTATTGTATTGTGTTTTTATGGAAGTAAATGTATGCTGTTTAAAAACCTCGCGATTGCTGAACAAGAAAACGACACATTCATATTCCAATGCCGAGGTTAAGAGAAAGTCGATCCTGGGAACTATTGTTCGACTGTTAAGAAAAAGCTCCAAGTTTCAACGATTATCTAAATATCGCGATGAAGTGTACGATTTATGTCGGCAGTCTTAGCGAACCTTGCGTTGCTACGCTACCAGAAAAATCCGCCACGAATACAAAGTTGTGCCCGAGCGATAAACAACGTGACGATCCTTTGTGACCGAACGAAAAAAGGACAGTTGTAAGAAACCAATGGTGGAACTACCTTGAAAAATAATGTTAATCCCTCATAAAGTCCTGAACACTAAAAATAGCTACCAAGGTTCGTCTATTACTTTTAAGAAATCGTTCAAACATTTACCGCCATCAAATATGATTCAAAATTTTTACCCATAGCAAAAAGAAATGTACAAAAAATTAAACAGTAAAAACCCAAGAAATCGTACGTTTCCAACGGCTACGAAACACTGGCTCGTCGGTACAGGTTTAAAGGAAAAATAAAGCCCCCAAATGACAAGTCTAGTGAAAACAAGGCCGCGTTTAACCTACTCTTTATCTCCAACGAGAAATCTCCTTTATCTTCCTCTGTCCTCTCTGCTTCCACGACATGGAATTGATAACAGGAAATTTCTACACCAATCACTTTCGTCCCACAATCGCCGCCCTTGACCCTAAATCCCACTGGCGAAAAACCACCTGGAATTCTTCCCTATGAGGTTTGAGTTAGATAGAAAACACGAAAAATGGCGAATCACCAGGATCCGACCTAGCCGGCTTTGCTATAGGTGAAAGCCGCAATCAACATGTACTTTCAACGTATGTGAAATGCTATCTTGAAAAGGAAAAAATCCCAGACTAGTGAATGGAGTCGTCCACGGTCATCCTGCACAAGAAAGATGACCAAAAGAATCTTCATAACTATCGTCCGACATGTTTCTTAAGTGTACTCTACATACATGCTCTTCACGAAGATATTCTGCCGTGCACACCAGGGAAACTGGAAGAGGCGCAATCAGATGACCATGCAGGATTTCGACAGGGATTTTGCTGCATGGATCAAATTCAAACCGTGTCCAGGGTCACTGAAGTTTGTCTGCAAAACCACCTGTAGAGTGAACCACACAAAGATGCAGGCGTCCTCTAGGACCACCATCTACATGTTGGATGTTTTACTGTTCGTGTATTGCCAAGACTAACTCTCCGTTAACCTCGGCATCGATTGATAATTCGATGTTTTTCTTCAATAAGCAGACACAAGGTTGTTAGAATTTATTAGGGTACAATAGCTGAGGTTTCGGCGGTTTCGCCTTCTTCAGACACCGGAAAGGTCAGATTGAGATGTGATCTACCCAGCCAAACACTTTCATAACCTTAGCAGATAAAACTTAACAAATAAATTTGTATTCGCATAAGAAACAGCTTCATTTAAACACCTACCGTTTATTCGTTGTAAGTATTTCAGTTAGTTGGTGGATAGCAGCCACACAGAGGAACACATGGGCGATGATAACCGTTCGTGTATTGTTTGTTCTTAACTAACTGCCGAGTAATGTTCGTAACCAAAGTCAAACAACTGTACTCGAGGCTGCAGTTGTTTTGCAGCATGAGACGCATATCCGCCACCATGCTCGAATTAAACCATCACAACGGAGGACGATCGCGAGGCAAAGAAACAATGGAAAAATGTACAGAGATCCGCGCACTCGTGAAGACGGGGTTCTAAGTGAGTGAGTGAGTATTCCCAACAAAGCAAGCACAGGCACAAAAGGATTTTTGAAAAGGACCAGTCTACAGAAATCGGTAGCAACGACTGAAATTGTACTGAACACTCTAAAGCGCCAGCTGGCTTTCAACCGCTCCTGTGAAATGTGTATAACACAACATTGCATAATTTGCCTTAATGGTACAAAAGGAAACTGCATTAGTTTGGCTATACTGCACTATGTGGATCGTGTGGAGACCAATACGTTGACGAAACGGCTAGATCACTCTGTGTCTGTATAAAAGAGCACCTAGTTGCGAAGCTTAAAGTCAAACAAAACACCCCAGTAGGCGCGCGCAGGGTACAAAGACATAAAGGAGAAAACAGCAAACACTTGATGCGTTTCGGATAGCTTCCAAAAATACAAAAGTAAGGTAAGGAATGGTATGGAGAAGCGCCTTGCGACCACGCGTGACCTAGCGCCATACCAAATGCCAATTTTTTGACCTGAGCCAGACATATTTCTCACCCATGTAAGACTCTGTGTGGCTGGTCTCCTATAATAACTGGAAGGCATAACGAACTAATGGAGCGGTGAATACTTAAAGCAAGCTGCTTAATATAGGAATAAAATTCGTCTATTCATTTTTTTGGAGTGTTTGCCTAAGTGAATGGACTGCATGTCAATCTGGCTTCTCTCAATCTCTCCAGGCTCTGTAAAAGGCGAAACTGCCGAAACGTCGGCCAATATTGTATTGAATAAATCTTGTTATTGACAACTTTGTGCCCACTCAGGAATGAAACACTAACAATAAAAACTATTTTAGAACTATAACCACAGCGACGATGAGATATTTACAAAACATAGACCATAGGCCATAAAATACTAAGCAATGAATAAAAAGCTATACGTTGTGACTTCCACTACAGCCTCAACATAACTGGATTCAATCTCTATTTATGCTCCCAGATCATTCACGTTGACGGGTGATTGCTGATGGTACTGTTAGGGTAAAAAACTGGCAGAGAGAAACGCAAATCAAGGGCCTCTGGTGCAGTGGGTAACACGTGAGCCCCCGGAAAGAGTAGTCGCGCGTTTGGATCTGGCCTGAGTCCAAATTTTGCAAATATCTCAGCGTCCTTGTGGATGTATTTCGCATAATACTCTGCCTTACAAATTTTAGAAGCAGCAAACAAAATGTTACAATTGAGGACTCACCTGATAGCTTTCAAGCATTGCGGATGCCGCTGATGCCACACCAGATATCATGAGGATTACGTTCCCGAAACGCTCTGAGAAGAAAAAGGTAATTTGCAATCAAGTAATCCTGCATAAATAAATGAACAGACAAATAAGTGTTTAAATAAACGGATAAATAAATGTTGAAATGGTACTGGCGCTAGAAGCGTACCTTGTATAAACCAATAAAGCTAAAGCATAAAGCTCTCGGTGCTGACCAATCTCTGAGGGACGCGCCATGCATTAGACTTCATTTAGCATCGTCTGGAGGTAATTGAATGCATACCAGGCCCTTACAATGACTCGTGGTGGCCTACCGATGTATCGAGCCAGTGCTGCTACCCTTCCAGACAAGTCTACCACCAATTTGCCGACCCCGGAGGGATGGAGCGCTTGGGGAGCCACGAGCGCGGGATCGATTTCATGTCTGTGTTGCAGGGCACCTCCGATCACTGCGCCACACGCGCCCTTCTAAACCAGTAACTCGAAGGAATATGTAAACGACAGTGAAAAAAAAAACAATAAGTTACAGATGCAACAATAGTTAATGATGACATTAAATAATAAAGATAAAGGATAATAAAAACGGTACATGGAAATATAGCACAAAGCAATGATGTTCAAAGGTAAGCGGTCGCTGGTTCGACCACGAACCAAGGCTAAACAGACAATGTTTTGTCTTAACGATAGCAGTTTGTGCGCAGAAGATTTGCCAGCAGTGTGTAAAACAGTAAATTCTGCATGTTTGGATTCCGTAACTTAACGCATAGTCCAAATTCGTACTCATATTCACCTAACGTGTTGATAGATTGAGATATGCAAAACTGATGGACGTTAGGACTTAGCAAACCTAACTATTAACACCTAACTATAAACTAGTTATCCGAACCTCCCAATCTCGGTCGAAGAAATGTTCAAAAGTGTTAAAACAGAAGTAGAAGTTTCTCTCTTGAAAAAAAACCTGATCAACATTTCCGTTCAAAATCCAGTTAAGAGTAACCCAAGGCCAGGAATCGTACCGAGACGGAAGAAATCCGGCCATAGTAGTGGCAAATCTCGTTGCGATAACAATCCGACATCCTCGACAAGAATTATGACAATTTCTAACTAGACAGATAGCTTAGCGAACACTCTGGATTTCTTTCAAGAAAAAAGAAGCTGCTCCAGTCAACAAAGTAGTTGTTCTACAGCTCCTGGGAACTTCATGAAAAGCAGATATTCAAGTGTTAAGTGAACATTATGCACTTTATAAACGATGAATATTCAAGAACGATAAAGAACTCTTTGCGCGATATTGTTGGTTCGACTTCCAACTAAAAAGAAATACGTGCCATTGTGTGGTGATAAGTTATTTCAGGAAAAACCAATGCTCAGCTTCTGTTAACAACGTCATGGTACACTGTATTTGCTTGATACTTGAACGATCCGGCCTCACTAGTTGTGCGGACACCAACATAATCACCATTTTTCAAAGATTTGCTGGTTAAGCCATTGTCGTTCCCTGGAACCCCGAGGACAGCCTGGCCAAAGTTTGTCCCAGGTCGTCACCACGACAGGCCGTCGCGGCCTTTCTGGAACAGAGGGATATTTACCAACATACGACTTTGATACAAAGACGGTAGTGGATCCTGGTATTGGTTTACTCTTAGCTAGGCTTCCTGATGGAAACGCCAGACTCCTTTTCAGCTTGGAAGACCCTACCGGGAGAACGAATCCCCCGCTCTACATCGCTGTCTGACACCCAGGAACACCTCCCAGCCACGATGAGGCAGTAAACCGTTGGGAGGAATGGTCCGCTATAGGACAAATTATAAAGCGTTCGGTGTCGATCGATAGTTGTGCTATATATTAGACGTGTTATTATCCTCGCAGACAACTCTGGTATCAATTTATTGAACCCGTAGGGATGGAAGGTTTGATGAGCTCAGAATTCAGGATCGAACAAACGACTACGCCTGGATTGCAGGCACGTCTAAACACGACCGTTAACGCGGCCCTAGACGGCGTCTTCAGATTGGGGCAAAGTGCTGTAGAACTTACCCGGATAGTTTTCACAGCAGATGTGCCGATAGTACTGGAATAGTGCTGAAATTACTTCGTCGCGAAAAGTGAGCACTGCCTTACGCGATGCGTCAGAAATTGCTGACAACTCTGAACAGAAAAAGAATTTCGATTTTCAGTCACAGTTTAGAAAAGTGGTACCTCTAGCCCATTTAATAAATAAGGAGAAATCTCAAATCATGATTAACTGGAAAGGATTTCATAAGGAAGCAATATTAAGACTCGCGACGACGCCTAGTCATTCGTTGCGCTCATTGTATGCCACACTGGCCATAGCGGTAGTTTTTGCGCGGTCCCATTCTTTTCGTTGTGATTTCCGTTCTATAAATAAGTTTCCCACCAAGATTTGGAAAAATTTCTGCTCTTATCTTATCCCATGTAAGCTCCATGTTACTTCTACATACCATCCAATGTTTTGATGAATATGAAGAGAAACACTCGTCCATGATGCAATCATATCAGCATTTAATGAAGTTATATACGTTCGGCAAAGAATACTACCATGTTTACCTCTTAGTTTTGATATCCTCTCACTCCTAACAATAGCCAAAAGTCACCATAGCCACTGAAAATTAGAAAACAACAAATTGCTTCTGAAAAATGTTGCATGCGTTGCCAGTTCGTCGACAGTAGGGAATAATTAGGAATTGATCCTACCATGGACGAAGCCCCCTGTGGCATCTTCGTTGGATAGGCCATGTACTGATTACAGGAAGAACAAAACAAGAACTCCTGTGCACCAAAATCAACTATGGGAAAGAGTATGACACCTATAGGTGTCTTACCGGCAACTCACGCAAAACCATTCTGACACCAAGAGGCGTCATCAGACGCGAGAGTGTTAAGATCACTAACAGTGGTTTCAACTATCTATTCACTGTCTATATAAATTTAACGAAAAAGACATCGTAAATCTTCAGATTTGTTACACCATTTTAAATATCCTTAATTTTAACACATGCGTGACGAAGCTAATTTTTTTCTACAATAAACCAAAAGGTCTTCATTCGTAGAATAGCGGCGTTGAAAACTTTACACAACTACGGAAGAAATTTTATTCTATGCCTTTAAGAGTACACGCACTTTTTAAGGATATTCCTTGAATTCTTAAATTCTTCTTAGGAATAGAAATTCCAGAAATTGAAAACAGAGTCCAAATTTCTAAAAAATTCCCCAGCATGTTCATAAGAAAGAATTCAACTTGTGCAATTGCTAGCGCTTTCGAAGTATTAGTCTTGACGAAGAACTAGGGAAAAAAGCGTTTTTTGGGCTCCCAAAAACAAGAATTTCTTGGTGACAGAAGAGAATTTGCATTCACGGGCAAGGATCTGTACAATGCAACGAATTTTGCTGCACCAATAAAGTTCAACATGAGCCAATAAATATCGTTTTCAAATTGAAAGCGGCCATCATTTTCGCACCTCATGCATATGCGCATCGTAGCGAATATGTTACTTTACTAACGCAAAATACCAAGAAACCAGTGGAAATTAGATGCAGTAGTGAACTAGTGAAGTGCTTCCAGTTTTACACAGTGTATTACAACGGAACTCAATAATTGAAAAGAATCAAAGAAATGAAAAAACTGCCTCTCACTCTTAAACAAATTATTTAATGCATTGGTGACAGCACACGCTACTTAAATATAATTTAAATTTACTCATTTTTTAAAACCCCACTAATAATGGGAAGCAGAGCACAACAAGAAAATACACGTAAGCATTCACATGTAATAATCGAACAACATATGAGTCATATGGGGCTCATTTTGCCGCCGTTAGTAAATAATTAATTAGAGCCAATTAATTGACAGTAAGCCACAAACGTAGTAGTGTATGGCTTCAAACTCATATTTTGGAACAAAAACCAAAGAGAACAAACACGAGTCTACAAGTAGAACAATTTTAAAATGTATAAAAAACATACCCGTATGATTTCCGCAGTTGAACAGCATAATGATCTTGAGCACCACTAACTCTTGTGGTAACAGCTGAAGATGTCTTAGTGGAGTGACTACCTAATCATAAAAGAATCACTTATAATCGGTTTTTCTACTACACTATCTTTGGAGAAAAAAGCAGATTTATTTTTTTGTGCGAAAACTTGTACATTACAACTATAACTTCCAATAACGAGTTTTCCTGCTCTGCTACCTATCGATTAATTTTCTAGCAATTTATAAATCGTTCGAAATATACGGTACTTTACTGGAAAACAAAAAGACTCCAAAGGAAGTCGCGAACGAAAACAGTAGGTTTATAGAAATCGTAAATTCATACAGTGCGAAACACTGGATTCGAACTCGATAAAACAAAACACGCGTATTGATTGCGTCAGCAATTTGATAGATAAATATTGCCTTGATGAACGATTGTTTCACGGTAAATATAACGAGTTATTATGTAAGTTCACCCAAACAATACCCAATAGCGAAATTTTACAACTTAAGATTAACCTAATCATGTATAAAATTTCATGACAAGTAAATTCAAGGTTTCTTCGAAATTTTTCGATTTTAAGCAGTAACAGTTGATAATACACTTACCGAATAATGTAACAAAACATTATAAATCGCACCTCATCGATACACGTGTCCGTCATGTGCTTGTAGAGCTTCTCCTGCCTCCATCGTCGATCTGGTGAAATCGATGACTGAAAAAAATCAATACGTACCAGATCCATAGTAAATGGTTTCACTAAAATTTGTTTTTATTCTAAATATTTAACTAGCCCTACGTTCAAATGCTTTCTATTTTGTCAAAAGTTAAGTTTTTTAAACCAACTTTGAGCGTTGCAATTTTAGATGTCAAAAACGCATTTTCGTCAAGTTTTCTTTTATGAGCTTAAACTCAGCCTAAGTGCAGTACAGGCGGCTCAAAACATTAGGTAAGTTTTAGGCGAAGGTAGTGTTGGTGAATTGACAGTGAGAACATGGTTCCGGAAATTTCGATCTGGTGATTTCGACCTCAAAGATAAGGAAGGCCGCGGTCGGCCCAATGAACTTGACGACGACGAATTGAAGGCACCAGTGAAAGCAAACACGCGCACAAATGTTCGAGAGCTTGAAGAACAACTTGGCGTAAGAACAGGAACAATTTCCATTCACTTGATTACAGGAAAAACGAAAAAAAATTCGACAAGTAGAGGCCGCACAAATTAAACGATAATGGAAAAAACCGCCGTTTTGAAGTGCCGTTTGCTCTTATTCTGCCCAGCAAAAATGACCCTTTTCTCGAGCGATTTGTAATGTGCGACGAGAAGTGGATTCTGTACGACAGCTGGCGACGTTCAGCTCAATAGTTGGATTGCGATCAGACTCCACAACACTTCCCAAAGCTAAAATTGCACCAAAAAAGGTTATAGTGACCGTTTAGTGGTCTGCAACCGGGTCGATTCATCACAGCTTTTTCAATGCGAACGAAGTGATTAGGCACAGAAGCACTGGCAACAAATCGACGAAATGCGCCGTAAACTCCAACAACAACGACCGCAATAAGTCAACAGAAAAGGACCAATCCTTCTCCATGACAACGCCCAGCCTTACGTTGTGGAACGAGTGCTGCAGAAGTCGAAAGATGTGCTACGAAGCTTTGCCTCAACCGCCGTACCCACAGACCACTCGCCTAACGAATATCACTTCTTTAAGCACCTTGACAACATCCAGCGCGAGAAGTGAGTGCTTCACCAACTACGATGACGTAGAAAATACCTTCAACGAATTCATTTAAGACTCCAGAATTTTAAGCAGCTAGAATAAATAAACTTGTTTCTCGTTGACAGAAATGTGCAGGTTCAAATGGTTTTTATTTTGATTAATTTAATCACATTATACTTCCACGTGATTTCTGTGCGGTTGGTCTCTACGTGACATACTTAGTGGAAACCTTATAGAAAGCGGCTCTGAGGAAGGCGAAATCCGCCGAAACGTCAGCTTAATCGTGAACAAAGAATAATAACACCTCGCGTTTGCTCAATAAAAATACGAAGAAAATTATTTGATTAATTAAGTTTTGTTTGGAGCAAGTTATGACATTTTAAGCATTTTAAACAATAATGTTAAAAACGGTCATTTATTTCTGAACAACCTAATAATTATCAGCGATAGAACAACTTTTTTTAACCACAATGTTACTGAGATATTTTGTAAAACTTCGAACCGCTGGTGTCTGCAGTGGCGAACGAACACGCTAATACCCCTTCCGTGGACTAACGCGCTCACTACCACACCATTCGAGTCCTCGTTTCGGCTATCTCTCACCCGTCTTATTGACCCATAGGTGCTATCAGCAATCACCAGCGTCCGGAGTTTTGCAAATATCTCAGCACCACAACGTTGCTGAGATATTTGCAAAACTCTGGACCGCAGGTGTCTATGGTGGGAAATGAACGCGCTATTGTCCTTTCCGGGGAGTAACGCGTTCACCACCACACCATGTGGGTCCTTCGTTTCGCCTGCCTCTCAGCTAGTTCTATCGATCATTCCCGTTGACGAATGATTGTTGATAGCACCTATAGGTCAATAACACGACTAAGAAAAAGGCGAAACGAAGACTCGCACGGTGTGATGGTGAACGCGTTAGCCCCTGGAAAAGGTAATAGGGTCCCAACCGCAGACACCAGCGGTCCGGAGCAATGCAAACATTTCAGCATTATAGTAATAGAATAGTTTGAAATATGAGTTTCTTCATCAATGAGTCAAACTTCTTCCTCGATACATCTTCTCATATTTTTCATTACATTATTTGCATTTGTTAACGATTCGAGAGCTTATCACCTTGACAACTAAAAGTTAGTCTTAATATTTGTATGTTTGAATAATGGAGGAAACTTTCATGTGATTGGACTATACTATTTGATAGTTCCCAGGATCGACTTTCTATTAACCTCGGCATTGGAATATGAATGTGTCGTTTTCTTGTTCAGCAATCGCGAGGTTTTTAAACAGCATACATTTACTTCCATAGAGAAACACAATACAATACAACACCAGCTGACGTTTCGGCAGTATCGCCTTCTTCAGAGCCTGGAAGGGTATGCTGATATACAATCTACTAGGCCAAACGCTTCAATGACACTTACAAAAAGACGAAAAACTCTTTGGTAATTACATGATCAACAACTTCTCGAAAAACCCACCGCTTTTTCGTGACTTCCAATGAGGAAGTTTAGAACAGCTGATTATAGTCGCATGTGGTTGACGACTGCACCATCCCACATCAAAAATCGATGCGAACGTACGGGATCAGGTCGCGTATGATCTCCGGACATTCATCCCTGCTATTCATTGTAGGGTTTTTGGCATTGATCCAAAAAGCCTCAAGGAGTTTTCGCGCTGGTGTTTTGGACTCCTGTGCAAGGATATTGACTTTTACTTCAAAATCGTCTCCGCTATGCTTTTGTATCCTATGCGTGCCTAGTGGTGTGCTTCGTCTTAGTTTTCGTTTACCATCTAGGTGCTCTTTTATACGGATACACAAAGGTCTGCCCGTTTCGCCAATATATTCATCTCCGCAATTATTAAAAGAGATCAGGTATATCGTACCTGAACTCATGCAATCACCGTCCCTGCCGTAAGAGCAAATTACGCAATTTGTTGTTTCACACAGACGGTCATACAGGCGGTTACGAACTAATTGACGACGTAGAGTAGCCGGTTGTATTTCAACTATCGCTACCGATTCCTCTAGACCTGCCCTTCTTGAGCATCGTTTTACAGCTACGCTTACTTCATCGCTTATAAAAGGCAACATGAACGGAACTTTCTTCTGGCCAAGTTTCGCGTGGGCGCGTCGCCCTCCTAAACTTATCTCATGGGGTTACTATTTCGAAAAAGCGGTAGGTTTTTTCAAGAAGTTGTTGATCATGTAGTTACTAAACGTCAGCTAGCGTTGTATTGTATTGTGTTTTTCTATGGAAGTAAATGTATGCTGTTTAAAAACCTCGCGATTGCTGAACAAGAAAACGACACATTCATATACTATTTGACTTAAATTGGCGACAAAACGATAAGGTGATTTGATAAGGTTGATAAAAAAAAGTTCAAAACTTACTCTGCATTCTTCTGGAAGAACTTCAACGTTTCTCGGCATGCACGTACCGTTCTCGATTAACCACACATCTTCCATATTTGTACTAGCAGTAAAGAAACCGTGTTCGAGTACGAGGTGATGTACAGCAAAACGCTGCAATAGAGAAAACCTATATTTACCGATGACACGTTTCTGCACTATTTCACTTACTTCGGGTGTTTCTATCACCTTTACCACTTCTAACTCCCTTTATCATCCAGTGACGTCAAAACTGGCAACGCAGTCACCCGCCTCTGATGTTGTAGATAAGAAAGGTTAAAGGATAAAGCATCTCGAGGTTAACCAATCCCTCAGAGATGGGCAATGTATTCGACTTCATCAAGTATCGTTAATTGTCGTGTCATCTGCAGCTGTGTCATTAGGTAATGACGTGGCTAACCGGCTTGAGATTCCTCACAACAGAAGGTGATCCTTGGCATTTCAACAATATACCAGTATTCACTAGTGATACAAGCCACTACTGTCCCACGTTGTCCTCACGTCTTTTAATACCACTTCACTCATTTTTCTAAAAATCAAAGCCTACAGTTCTAGTAGTTCATATTTTGGATATGCTGATAGGACACATTTATGAGACAGTTATGGTACTTTATGAGAAAGTTGTGGTACATTTATGAGAAAGTTGTGACACCAAGCAACAGAATCCATAATTCCTTTGTAATTCCTTAAAATCAACTAAGGTGAATTTAATCCTTACTATACCTTGGCGAAAACAAACCGAGGGTTAAACCCTTTAACAGCAAACTCAGGATCACCTACCTTTTGAAGGTTACCGGAACACCTCATTAGCTCACTGGAAGATTAACGTTTTCGCAAGTGGAGAAGCAAAGGTCTATGTAATACCATTTCATCACCAATAACTATACTCTCTACATAACCAACTCACCTTGAGAAGTGTCACCTTGTCGTCGATTGGTAATGGTGGGAAGCATGGCAATGTTCTAACCCATTCGAGCAACATCAATAAATCCGTCTGTGTAACATTTGAAACGTCTTTTGCCAACATAATCATTAATTTGTCGTTGCTGTCCTTCTTAAACATTGGAAAATTATGAAAATTTGGGAAAACCCTTCCACTTTCTTTTTACTAAGTGGTTTCCGTTTGTTCATGGACAAGTTTTTCAACGTTCTTTGTAACTTTGAATTTTCTATCATTTCTATCTTAATACAGCCACCGATATTTCAGACACCGATATATTTCTGTATTTCTCACAACAACATAGGTATTCTTGATGTACATAAAAGTATGACAAAATAAAAAAGGATTGTTTGAAAAGTTATGGAGAAACTCTCCGTATCCCTAGCGTCCTTAGCATCGACCTTTTGAGTAAGTTTTCTATAAAGTTAACCACTTTTTCATCATTTTTAGGTAAGATTTAGGTTTCTGAAGCTAAGGGAGTACCCTGACTTCAACATCACTTCATCAACTCTCTAGTAAACTCACAATTCTTCTCGCTTCTTACACCTCCGTTTTAGAATTATATTGCACATGTCACACCCAGATATAGACAGCCAAAGATATACGCCTTCTTAATAAGTCCTTCCTTGCACAATAACGTGGTCCTAATGGTTTTTCATTGAAGAGATACCATGGGTACTGACACCTAGCGTGTGAAAAGCCGAATTAGTGTTTTATTGAGAACTAATAGCATTTTCTTCCTTCCTGAATCTTGTACCGCACTTCGAACTTCATTGGAAGAAAATCCACTTTTATCCAGTGACAGTTTGAAGGATGAAGAGTTGTTTGGAAATACAGTAGCTGTCCCATTCGGATGCCAGACTTCGTTTACGTTCTTCTTTTAATACCCTAAGTCTCGGCGGATGTTGTCTTCCCAATTTTTATAGCTTCATGCAGCGATGCTTCTCTTCTGCTCCTTCTTTCTCGACAGAATTTTGCAAGATAAAAGCGTAATTGCTAACTGCATTGCGACTAACTTATACCCACAATGGCACAGCAATCCAGAAGAGCCTGGAGATAGGCGCCTTTACTGACTTTCAAACACCAGACTTTACTATCATATTGGTGAACATACTGGGCTTGTTAATTACATTTTTCTTTAGTATTCCCAACAGCCGACCATAGATGATCAAGGAAGTGATCAATTAGAAGGCAGAGAATTGGGAAAATGGTATTTGGAGAATCTACTTCCTAAATCGTCCCAACAGTTTACCCTTCATCTTGGCTGCGAGGTATTCCTGGGTGTCGGACTGCGATGCACAGCAGGATTCATCCCCTGGCAGGGTCTCCCTAGCTGACGAGTCTGGCGGCTCCATCAGGAAGCCCAGCTAACAGTAAACCAGTACCAGGATCCGTCACTGTCCTTATACCAAACTAGTCGCACGGTGGCAAGTCTCCCTCTGATCCACAGGGCGGCGGCTGCCTGTGGTGGTGACGAGCTGGAGCATACTTTGGCCTAACTGACCTCGGGACTCCAGAGAACTACAATGGCTAAGATAGCACAACTCCGAAAAATGGAAGATCATGCTAGGGTCCGCACAACCATTACAGACGGGCCAACCACGTATGCAAGTAAATATTTTTCAAGCAATTAGTAATTCTTTAATTTTTCAAGTAATTTCTTAAATGTAACTGATACCTCCGCTTGCTATCGTGAAAAAACTTGGCAAAATAAGAAAGGGTCAGATATCGTGTAGAACCTCAACCATCAATGAATTCTTGTACATCTGACCAACAACGGTAATTTTCTGTGATTTTGTGCCCAAGCAGTCATTTGCTCCAGAAAGGCATGCAGTTTTAAAGAATGAAAATAAAAATCAATCAATAGAACTTTTATAGTGCAGTAGATGGAACAGGAAAAGTGACTACAGTATGCTTTCCGAAAAAAGTCTAACCACTACTTAAAATTGCATCGTACTTACTTGAAAAATTCCGGCTCGAATCACTTCCGCTAAATTCATAGCCGCCTTCTTAGAACGCAAAAGCTCGAACTTTCTCCGTCTGAAACCAACAAGTTTCTCTGCCTATTTCTGTTATAAACTAAATCAATACATCAATATGGAGTTATTACTGTGCTAAATTTTACTAGTAGGGTGTTATTATCGACTAGCCAGCATTTTGTCAACTGATAGTTGTAAACTGGTAATGAAAACCTGATAAAAATTAGATGACCTGTGCCGTCCAGCAAGATTCCGTTCCCAACTCAAACCTGTCCCCTTCGTATCATTTATTTAATATACCTAATCCGCTGATCAATTTCCGTAAGCCGGCCAATGAGTAGTAGATGATAATCTTTGATTGCATTCGCGGTGAGCTGATGCTCCTTCGGTGAGAGAGTGTGCTGGGGAGGATGAGTTCTCATGCGTCGACAACCGATCAAATCCCGACGCGGTTGAAGAGCTGAAAAAATTCTTTCAAAAAAAGGATTTCTACTGGTGGACGAAGTTTCAAGACTATAACAGACAACTAAGAAGACACTACGAAGACTTTGCTAATACTAATAGAAATAAAAATATGGAAATCAAGAGGGTAACATAACGTCCTATCTGAACCATGAACCCATACTCCATAACGGACTAGTTATCCAGGCAGACATTAGTCGTTCGTAAAGTTCTATCAAATTACAGCAGGTTTTATGCGCAAAAGAATAGAAGCTTCTCGCCACCGATCAATCCCTGAGGGATGCGCCATGCATTCTTCACTACACATCGTTTGGAGGTGATTGAATGCATATCTGGCCTTCACAATGACTCGCGGTGGTCGACCGATGTACCGAGCCAGTTCTGCTATCCTCCCAGACAAGTCTGGTACCAATTTGCCGACCCCGAAGGAATGGAAGGTTTGGTGAGCCTTGGGCGACGGGATCGATTTCATGTGCACTGCAGGGCGCCTCCGACCACTGAGCTACACGTGGATTTTAGGGCATAAGTGATGAAATCCCTTCGAATTCGTTTAGCAGTATAAAAAACTGGCACAGAAGCAAGGAAAATTCGGAAAACACATTAAGTGCGTGGTGTTTTCATAGTTACAATTACCACATAATCAGAAACCGTCACCAACAGCAAGACTTAATAAACTATTCTTGCTCACAACGCCGAACAACGTACGTTATGGAAGCACCGAAATGTCAAAAAAATGTTCAACAGAAAATAATGGAGATAAATAATCTAACCTTCTCGGCTCATGCCACATCCAAGGCATTTTTTGTAGCGGCAGGCTCGACACGCTTTACGGGCGGCATGCGTTACATCACATGGAGTTTCTCGTTTACATAGTGTGTCTTGACGTTGTACAACAGCCCTAAAGACGCAAAAATGTCTACTGATTCATTAGATGTCGAAAAAAACACTTTCAATCGGTATTGCTATGAATTTTAAAATACTATACAGTGATGGCCCAGATGGTACATATGGGCTAAAACGCTATCAAAAACCACGATGTAGATTTCTAGCAATGGATTTCTAGGTGAGCTACCTGTTCCTAGTAGGCCGTTGGGAGTTGGTTTGATGTAAACATGATCAAATTCTTGACTACTTGCCTACAAGAACTCATCTGGATGCGATTTTACCCCATGTGCAACTATTAGACCAAAAGCCTTCAACGACATGACTGGGAAGTGCATGAGAAGTAATCACAGACTTTCGACACGACACGATAAGATCGAACTATACTCCTACTATCATATAATAGAGCTCCACAAGTCGCTCGTGACCATGTTAACCATATAGCGTGATTCGCCAAGCTACTCTTAGAGTTAGAGTAGTAGATCCTATGCCAAAAAAAGAAAAACGGAGTCCACACGGAAACCCGTGTTGCTCATCTTGCCAATGAAAGAGGCCAAGCTGGAAGCCACTGGATAGCGTCAAGTTGTGGTAGAGACAAATGAAGGCTTTACTGGTACACACATACTCGAGGCCTTCGATTAATAAAAGAGTTGCAAGTGACACAGATCATTTCTAGACTAGATGTACAGGCATTATGTTAATGAATAATAGCTGTTTCTAAATGTTAACTTTTATTTACTGCCTACTACAATTCTCACGGCAGGGTATTATGTGTGATACAACCACAATCACAATGATGCTGAGATATTCGCAAAACTCCGGACAGTAAGTGTCTGCGGTGGGGATCGAACACATTATTATTCTTTCCCGGGGGCGTTCACCACCACACCTTGCGGATCCTTTGTTTCGGTTTTCTCTCAGCCAGTTTCCTATCCACCAGTGCCATCAGCAATAACCCGTCAACGTGATTGATCTGTCACAAATCGGCATTAAACATAGTTAAGCTGAAGCTGTAGTCGTAGCGCCCTCCAAAGCCGGAATTTCATTCAAGGATCGTCCTGACCTTTCGGTGGCATGTAGCCGACGAGATCTATCATAGCCTCCAAAATCCGAATGAAAGGATTACGACGAGATCCACCAAATCGACAAATTGGATCAAAAACGTCGACGGCTGCTTCGTATTGGTCACCAGAAAGACATCAATCCTTCACTAGAACGCGGGGCCATATATACCACTACAGCAACTGAAAAGGTGGCATGAGCTAACCCACAAAAAACTCATCAACCACACTCGATTGACCACCACTTATTCAAGCATTTCGAGAACTTGATATGCTAGAGATGCCTTAGAAACTAAGTTAAAGCGAAAACTAACCTCAAAAATTTCATCGCTTCCAGAAGTCCGGAGTTTTATAGAAACCGTGCAAGTAAACTTGTTTCTCATTGGCAACAATGTGTAGCTACTGATGATTCTCATTTGGACAAATAAATTCGAAAGCCCAGCAAGCAGATGTTTTGAAAGGCTTAATACCGGAGGAATGGGCCTTCAGGACGCAAAACGTCGAATGCACGCATTAGCAACTGACCATGACCATTCACAATCGACGGTGCTTTTCCAAAAACTACTTCAAGAGTTGCAGGTAAAATCAACATCCATGATTCAACAATCATTCGTCATTTAGAAGATACTGGAAAGCTGTAAGAGGTCGACAAATGAGTGTCGATTGTGCAGTTCTTCTTCACACCAAGAAGCGACCTATATCTCGACATTACATCGCGACGTATGATGAAAGGTAGATCCTGGAAAACAACTGACGGTGTTTAATCCAGTAGTTGCACTGCAATTAGGTTCCGAAGTATTTTCCAAAGTCGATTCTGCATCAAGAGATGGTTATGATGACTTTTCGGTCTTATCAGATGGAATCATACAATAAAACTCTTTGAATCATAACAACCATCATAGTAGAGAATTAGTGTAACGAGATCGATGAAGACCTAGTGTTCACATAGTTCTAAGATGACCTCCTGCTACTCAACAACCACTTCTTTCAAGCTTCTCAACAGTTAGTCTACAACAACTAAATCGCTATAATAACTGCATCCGAAAAATTCATTCATTCCAGAAATTCGGAATTTCGCGTTACCGAAGTAAATAAACTCGTAGTTTGTTGCAAAAAAGGATTTGTAGATTCCAAAAGCTTCCATTTTTACTAACAAGGTTGCGTTATAGCTGAGTTGCAAAAGTATTTCCGAGAGATGCCGTTCGACAACGATTACTATTTCTGCATTGGCCTGATACAAGTAAGAAAATGTTGCTGAAGCAGCCAGAAATCGATGAATATCTTTATAACCTTAGCCTTCGACGGACCCGCATGGTGTGATGGTGAACGCGTTACTACCCGGAAAGGAGAATGGCGCGTTCGCTCCCCACCGCAGACACCCGCTGTCCGAAGTTTTGCAAATATCTCAGCATTATAGAAGTTATATCTTTATAAGTACAATTATTATAAACAAACCTTCGAAAAAATGTCTTACATCCTAAACAGGCGACAATACCGTAGTGTTTTCCAGTGCTTGGTTCACCACATATTAGACAATCACCGATAACACCTAAAATAAATCATGGTCTACTGTAGATCGTCTAAAACAATCAATACACCCAAAAAATCGATAAAATTCTGTATCATTAGTGACATTTTGTGTAGAAACAACTTATTTTGTCGGTGTCGATAGTGATTAGCATAAGCTTCACAAATCATAGTTGAAAAATATAAACCCCGATGATAAACATCTCCAACGTATTTGTTCAATGATGCACGCAACTCTTCAATCAAAAGACAAAGTACAAAAGACAGAATGACCCCATACGAACATAAATTCCCTTCCACATCTGTCATCTTTCTGGAAAATTCTACTGAACCCTACCGTTTATGACGCTATAAATTGTTGTTTCCACGAGAAAGAAAAAACATGAGCAGCTAACTCTGTACGTTGGAATAACCATTGCTATTTGAAAAATGGATGGACAACTGGCCCTATGGTTTTCTAGAGTAGACATCACATTTCCGTAGACTAATTTTTCTAGTGTGGATTTTAGTATATATGCTAAAATTATGGTTGAATCACCTGAAGTTTTGGGGTTTATTTACTTATTTGGATACTTGGCTAGCTCGTCCTCACTGGTTGTGCAGGTCCCAGTATAATCTCCATTTTTTCGGAGTGTTGCTAGTTTAACCTTTGTGGTTCCCTGGAATCCCGAGGTCAGTCTGCTAAAGTGTGCCCTAGATCGTCACCACCACAGGCAGTCGCAACCCTTGTGGGTTAAAGACAGATTTGTCACCGTGCAACTAATTTGATACCAGGACAATGGTGGATCTTGGCATTGGTTTTGCTCTTAGCTAGGCTTCCTAATGAAAATACCGGACTCCTCAACTTGGGAGACCCTACTGGAGAGATGAATACCACAGCTGTACATCACAGCCTAACACCCAGTAACACCTCCCAGCCACAATGAGGCGGTAAACTGTTGGGAGGGTTTTGGTGTCTTAATTACATCAAAGCATAGAAAAGGTTTTAAAAAGCAGGAAAAATCATATCATAGTGAAATTCGGTCAACATCTCACTAAGAATTGGAATTGGAATTTTGGAAATTGGAATTATTGGAATTTTTATGAAATGCACTTAAAGCTTTCCACAAGAATTCGTCAACCTAAGGCGCAGCTCGTTTTCTGCAGCATTAGTTTCCATGAGAATTTTAATGCCTTTCATCTGAGGTTAGAGAACAATATTCACATTCATCAGCTCAAAATGAACATATATATTCGAAAAAAAATCTATAGATAAGATTACGAAGGATTTGCGAAGTTCATAAAAAAGTAAATGCACGAGGAACCCTACAAGTCAACTGCTCCAGTAATCGGCCGTCGTCGAGGCAATGAAGAAAGTCATTTTGAGCTTATGTGACGTCAATGTGCTAAGTTAGTCAACAGTGATTAGTTTCTTACCCTTTAAAATAGAATTCTAACATAATGTTTAAATTTTTACAACAAGTTCCTGGAATAGAACAAGTCGAACTGAAATATAAACAAAAATAAAAACAGAAATACAAAACGACATGGTTTAAATGGACATAAATACTTTAGCAGATATTCTCATGACCGACTTTCTATTAACCTCGGCATTGATCCAATAATTCTTTATAATCTTGTTGAGCAAACATCAGGTGTTACTTTGTCCTTTATTGACGGAAAAGCTGAAATTTTGGGGGATTTCGTCTTCTTTAGAGTTTTGAAAGGTCAAGCTGACCGCAGGTCCGACTGAGCGGAAACGTCAGCTTTTCTGTTAATGGAGAATAAAGTAATACCTCGCGTTTCCTCAATAAGAGTATAAAGGCTTAAGTACATACTTCGATAACGAACCACGACGGACAGATGACGGATAGCCCAGTTGAGACGCGAAATCCGAGGGTGCTCCTTGATTAACGCCAGTTTGATATTGTCATTTTTGCCCTTGCTTCTAATCGAATTTTTCAACTACTACGTTTTTTATTCGAGCACTCGCTCATTCGCCCATATAACGTTAGCTTTATAGCGAATATAGGAAAAATAGAAGAATTCCAACGAAAAAAACAACGAACGTCATCAAATGACCGTAACGGCTTTCCATTATGATCACTTACCTTTTTCGTGCTTAGTAGTGCCACCCTGATAGACGACCGAACCTGTCGTCATCCACAATTATCGTTTAACGCTTCGAACGTCAATTAATGACAATCTGCAAAACGTATGGGAAAAAGTCTACAGTTATCGATTGATTCGGCGACAGGATCAACGACATTCGACGGAACGTACGCAAGGAATTCATAAATTATCGATCGAATCGTCGACGCCGACGAATAACAATCGACAGACGTCGGCTAAGAAATCAATTCAGACATAAAAATCCGAGTTTACACAGAAATGTTACGGTATTCGGCAACAGTGGATGTACAAGGAACTGAGAACATTCCAGAATGACTCCGATGACAACTCATCTCGAGGACGTGGCATTCATCACGTAGCCGATCAGTGTTGGAGATTTTTATCAGCATCATCATATTTAATGAACGGCCCCCATAAAAATGAGAGAAAACAATAAAAAAAAATTGTCGGAAAAAATGTCTCAAAACATAAGATAATGTAGATTTTAACTTTTTTACTTGACAATTTTAACTACAATTTTTTAATGGCAGGGTTTTATGCAAAATATAGTTAATGTTGATTTCAACTACAGCCTTAGCTTAGCTGGGTTCAATGCTCATTTGGGCTGTCCAGATCAATCCCATTGACGGGTGACTGCTGATGGCAATGACCGATAGAACCAGGTGAGAGGCTGGCGAAACGAAGGACCCGCATGGTATGGTGGTTGTGATGGCGTTAGCATCCGGAAAGTGTAATGGCGCGTTCGTTCCCCACCGCATACACCTGCGGTCCGGAGTTTTGCAAATATCTCAGCATCACAACGTTGCTGAGATATTTGCAAAACTCTGGACCGCAGGTGTCTATGGTGGGGAACGAACGCGTTATTATCCTTTCCGGGGAGTAACGCGTTCACCACCACACCATGCGGGTCCTTTGTTTCGCACGTCTCTCAGCTATTTCTATCTCAGCATCGTTGTGGTTGTATTGTAAATTTTACTAGCAAAGGAACTTAGTATAAAGCTCAGAGAAGATTTTTCAAGGCTTTCTTCTGCACTTCAACAAATTTAAAACGACCCCAAACTGTGTTTTGCACTCTTTTTTCGAACAACACTTATTGTCACTTTACTATCCGGAAACCTAAGTGATTTAAATTACTCAACTGGAAATAGTCTTAAATAGAGGCAATGAATAAAATTATTCCCCTGAGTTTAATTGAGAGGACAGGGTTTTGCTGAAGAAAAGAGATGCGAGCATTGTGCAAACATCAAAAGTCATATGCTATAAAGAAGAGAGTGTGTCGATGACATAAGAACAATGCACTTTAAAAAACACTGGAAATTTTTGTGGTTTCTGATCTACCACGAGAAGCTCTTGAGCAGCTAGTAGCCTTGCAAACACTACGGGGTATGGGGATATGGTGGCCTGAGAAAGGACTAAAGCATTTGTGATAACGTATCGTTATCATGGTTTACTCATGTGAACAAGTAAGCAACTCACTAACAAATAAACAGTAAAATGACAGGATTATATCAATGCAAATAAATGACAGCGTTTCATGTGAAGTCTGTGGAAATATGCTTTCACAACGTTCACTGCAAAGTACGATATTTTCTTACAAATCAAAGGACAGTATGTCCATCAACTTGTTCGGAACAGTAACGATGTCGGAACTGTGCATCCATTCAACTCGTTCCCATGTCTTGCCTCTACCATTAATTGTGACTTCATTCGCATTGCATCTGTTAGTGATCCTTAACCTCATTATGCTTGAGTTTTGTCATCTCTACATCAACCTACTCTGCATCGCATTCCAAAGCCATAGACTATTCCGTTACGACGGAATGAATCGTATTCGTTATTATATAATAGTAGAAATCACTCCAATGAGATCCATACACATCTTACATAGTTCATATAGTGATCTGTGTACTGGAAGCTACCACTTTAGAAGTCAACCGTCCATTTGATCATACGGCTGAAATATCCAGAAAGCTCAACCTCTCACGATAACACTCGTACTTCTCTACAGTTACTGCTACATGATGTATTATGAGCTACAAGATCACATCCTGCTGATACCGGCATGCGATGATTGTTATACAGTTATCAAGCGAACGTATTTCCCTAACAAATATTTGTCGTCAAGATTTTTAACAGTGCGAACTATAGCAATATTCTGATGAAATCAGAACTCTATGCGCTACTACAGATTCAGCTTTTCCGTTGATACTGTTTTCTACAACCCAAAGAAACACGCCAATCAATAACTGCCATCTCATGCTTAAAGTTTATTGTTCATTTCACAGCCAGATATTAGTCTGAAAGATTATAAGCACTGCAGAACAAAGGGCACGTGTGGCGCAGTGGTGGTAGCGGAGCCCTCCAACACACACGTCGAATCAATCCCCGCACCCATGGCCCACCAAGCCCTTCATCACTCCGGGGTCAGTAAATTGGTACCACACCTATCTGGGAGAATACAGCACTGGTTCGATACATCGGTAGGCCAACGCGAGTCATTTTAAAGGTCAGATATGCATTCTCTTACCCCAAACGATGATTAATGAAATCGAATGGTGGCGTATCCCTGGGGGATTGATCAACGCCGAGAACGTTATCCTTTTAGTACAAAGTTATCCTTTTAGTACATTAGTATCTACCAAATCAGAAAATAGAAAACTAACTGAAAGAAAGGCGAAGCGAAGAATCCGCACGGTGTGGTGGTGAACGTGCTACTCCCCGGAAAGGACAATAGCGCGTTCGCTCCCCACCGCATACACCCGCGGTCCGGAGTTTTGCAAATATCTCAGCATCCTTAAAGTTATATTTCGCAATATATACTCTGCCGTTAAAAAGAGTACGCAGTAAATAAAAGTTAAAATTATGACTATTAATTGAAATAAAACCATCACAATCTTCATATTTTTGCCAACAAGATGTAAATCTGGTCACGCTGGCTACTTAAGACTCTGCACTTCTGGAGGCGATGTAGTCATTGAAGGGAGTTTCAGCTTCGACTTAGTTTATAAAGCATTTCTGGCACATATAGTTGTCGAAATGACAAACGATATTCAGTAGGTGATAGGTCTTGCAAGTATCGTGTACTAGGTAGGGATTTGTAACCTAGCTCGGACAACCTCTGCAGCGCCAGCAATACGTGTGTGGCCACACATTATCATTTCAAAGGACCATTTAATTCGTACGACATCCCTTTATCGAGCTTCTTCGACTTCCTAATTTTCTTTGAATGCCGCGAAATAATTCAGATATTTATAATGAACTCTTATACAAGTTCTTGAACCGTTGCGAGTGCACTTGCTTCCACGAAGACCTCCAATTCATCGCCGTCAACAGCAGGACGATGTCCGCCACATCCCTC